AAATAATTACATTTTAAAAATGCATTAATAAAAGCATATAGACATAATTTTACTATTTTGAGTGTGGGAACATATCTACTAGCCAGTCTGCTCTTCCATTAGTACTCCGTACCCTGGTTAAGAGAAAACCTAAAAATAAAATTTAAAACAAAAAAAAGCTGCGGAGGTTGTAGGAATATATGATGTCACATCTTGCATCTCCTGCAGCCTCCATATTTCAAACCCGAACATTGTGAAATGTGAGTAAGACTGTCCACGCAGAGATTGCACAAGTTTTATGTGCAAAAAAAGGCAATAGGTTGGTACTTGCTCCAGGCTAAAAGTTATTTGAAAAAAACTTAGAACATTTTGACCGAAGCCATGTTAGGCTTATAACGTTAAGCCTTTAAGTAAGTGATCTCGCTGTGATAAGTAACTTTTTTTTTTTCTAGATAGGAATCTTGAGCCACACAGATACAATTTCACTCACATTTCCTACAGATTGGCTGCAGTATTTTAACAGAAAGGTAAACAACAAGGTCATATTAACCTTTCTACCCATTTCCAAATGTATCAAAGTCTTTGTTTGCCCTGAGATCAACCTTTTGCAGCACAGTTTACAAAAAGACCATTTAACTTGAAAATGAATAACAAAATATTGGACACTGGGAATTGGATTACATCACTTACAATGTTATATACTAAAGATATTGTCAGGAAAACAAAGTGAATTGAAAAACTGAATATCAAGTTTAATCCGAAATAGCAAAGAATAAAAACAGCTGGCGTTCCTTTTTCCAGTTTGGCTATTGTGCCTAAAATGTTAAATTCACTTTAAATATACCACAAGTCTACCTCTAGTAAATAACCATGAGTTTATTCATTTAAGGAACGACTCACTGTAGTGGTTATAGTGCCAGGAGTTCTCTGGTGCTCCCCATTGTATGAGAGAGCTGGAGGGTGTCAGGCGGGCTCAGTACGGCCAAAGTACAAGGCTGCCTAGAAAAAAATATGAACTTTCTAAATGAGTTAATTAAAAATAATATGAAATCTTTATCTTCTATTCAGAGTGTGCACATTCACGTTGACACCCTGAATATCAGAAGATCGCTCTTGCTATGAAGAGAACATTTTCATTACAGTATATCAACAGAACTGCAGAAGGGGGAATTAAGACAGAATGAGAATTACACATAGATTTACATTACAAATTTACTGGGAGCACTCTGTCTGAGCTAATCCAGGCAGTGCACAGCCTAGCTCATTGGCTGACAGGAGGCAAAGAAGGTAAGAAGGCCATAGACCGGCTAGGATTGGGCACTTCATAGGGCTTGGACACATGGTATATGCCTTTTATATAGTTATTTTACTAATCACCAAACATTGCCTGAAACTTCTTTGCATACACAATAGCATGCCACCCAAAAGTCACGATTTTGGCAGGGCAGTCCCGCCTTAGTTCCCTGGTGTCCTACTTTTTTGGGACAGTTGCCTGGTACACTGGGGTACAAAGATGGGAGGGTGGGACAGAACAGGACCTGAAAATCAGGAATGCCCTGCCAAAATCAGGACAGTTGGGAGGCATGTAAAGTGTCACACTCACTTTAATGGTTTTGATGATACCCCCCTTCTCCCCCAGGTGGGTCCATTGGACATCGGCAACACAAGGGTGAGGCAGTATCCCACTTTAACTGCACAAATATTACTGCAGGTGGAACTGACACATAAAGAAGAGAGTTCCTGCAATATGTATTCCCTAGTAAATGGGATGTAAACTACATCTCCCATAATGCTCTCACAGCCCTAATGCTGGCAAAGCATCAAGGGACATGTAGTCCACATCATCTGGAATGCCGAAAGTTGCCTAAAACCTGCTATAGTATATGTGGGAACATAAATGAAAATGGGTAACACGAGAGGAAAAGATGGGAAAAAGTAAACAGGATTAGGATAGGGAATAAATAAAATCTTCATTCAGAACATGAACTAGAAGCCCCAGGCAAGCTAGGAAGCACATGTGCCAGACCACTGGCCATATAGAGGAGTCTCAAAGTCTTACTTCAACTATTTTGGTGAAAATCTTCAATTCTCTGGGCAATTTCTAATAATATGATAGGGTGTGCAGATGAGAAGAAAGAAAGGAAGGAAGGAAGGGAAAGGAAGGGAAAGGAAAGGGAAGGAAAGGGAACGAACTGGTGTGTGTTTATTATAGGGCAGGGCAGCTGTAACCAACACCTCCAATCACATCTCATTGATTGGACTCCAGTTGGCTGACATCTCACTCCAATTAGCTCTTGGAGATGTCATTAGTCTAGGGGTTCACATACTTTTTCCACCTGCACTGTGAATGTTTAAATGGTGTGCTCAATAAAAACATGGCAACATTTCATTCTTTGTGTGTTATTAGTTTAAGCAGACTGTGATTGTCTATTGTTGTGACTTAGATGATGATCAGATCACATTTTATGACCATTTTGTGCAGAATTCCATATCATTCCAAAGGGTTCACATACTTTTTCTTGCAACTGTACATTGCTCTTTTTCTGAAGTACTTTTGTTGAGTAAGTTTCACGCATAAAATACTTGGGTATTATAAAGAATGCAGAGCAATCTACTCAGCACACACTAAATATAAGCAGCTAGGTGCAAGGCAACTGATTAGAGATGTCGCGAACCGTCCGCCTTCTTCCTGGACAGCATCCATGTTGAAGGCAGCTTCAACATGGATGCTGTCCAGGAGGTGGGAGGGTCTGGGAGAGAGGGTCTGCCGGAGATTGGCAGGGATGTGTCAGCGGACTGGAGTTCGCCACGAACTGTTCGCGAGAAGTTCGCGGACGGTTCACGACATCTCTACAACTGATGGCTCAAGAGGTCATTGTGTTTGGAGAATTCCTTTGAGGGCAAAAATCATTTAAAAAAAAACAAATGTTTCTACTTGTCGCATGTCCATAATACCAGAATATTATATACAAACCAAATGGAATAAGTGCAAGAGCCACTAATTATACATTACCTGCTACTCTCTGAAGTAAGCAGAAAGAAACAGTGCCCCCTACTGTTCAAATTAAAGTATAGACTGTCTCAATAATAAAAAAAAAAAAGGATCCTAACCACTTGCAGTTTTTACTCATTTGAAGGAAAGTCAGTTAATCAAGTACCAGTTGACTTTCCATGTAGAATGAAATATTATGTCATTAAAAAAATGACCTTAATTGTTGATAATACCCCTTTAAATTAGTTCACTAATCCAGAATTAGGAGCTTATGTACAGCGATATCCGTAATTCAGTTTACATTGTGGTACAGAATAAATCATTTGCACATTATATTATACGATTTCTGACTAAACCTCTACTTTCTTGAATATCATTTTCTCCATCTCTAGGGTTTGGGAAATGGATGGTCAAACCTCCTACTGCTACCGCCTAATTACCAGGAGTTGTGTAATATATACACAATATATAATATACAGGGATGGCATAATACTAAAAACCGAGACGTGAAAAAAAAAATATATATAGCAGAAGTTATGAGACAACTTGTGATTTTATCACAGATACATTATGTGATAGAGATACTCTGAGGGATCTAATGAATTACATGAATGATCTTCTGGATAAAGCATTGGAAGAACACTTGATTGATGAGAATTCACTTGCTTATTTTATCCAGACAAATCCTGTGATGCCGGTTCTTTACATCCTACTGAAGAACCACAAGATCTCTGCAATCCACCGGGAGACTGCATTGACATAGTGGGAACCACTAAAGCCCCCCAGGCCACTTCATATAAAAAACGTGGTCTGGGTGCAGTGGTCCTTTTGTTTTAACCATGCCATGGAAAGCATTGCTTTTTAGTAATGTGTTTGTGCTCTCCCATTTTTCTTGCGAGGTGTTGTAGGAAGAGCACTCTGAGCGTTCTGTCCCGAGCCTCTTTGCCCGGGACAAACCCCATATGATCCAAGTGGACCAGCCTCAGGAAGAACACGTTCAGTCGGTTTGCTAAGACCTTGGTGAATAGTTGAATGTCCACATTTAAGAGTGAGATTGGTCTGTAGCTGCTGCAGAGTTCCAGGTCTTTGCCGGGCTTGGGTAGAATAGTTTTTGTTGCTGCCAGTGTTTCGTCAAGGAACCTACTTTCTGATGTGAGTGCATTTAATGCTTTGGCTAGTTTGGAAATGCGCATGTCTCCAAATCTCTTGTAGTAGTCCAGAGAGAACCCGTCTGGTCCCGGCGCCCTGCCCGTCTTTGCCGTCTTAATCGCAGCCTTCAGTACCTCTTCCGAGATTGGCGCTTCCATAAGATCTGCTTCGTCTCATCTCCAGTGTCAGTTAGGCGACCAATAATTGCCTAGCAAGCAGTAAATCTGATTGAAAGCCACTAGAGGTAGTCTTAATCCTGCAATATAATTATATTTCTTTGCAGTTTTTCTAAAGCCGCAATGGCTTACACTGCTTGACTAAGTGGGACAGGGACACTGCACCCAGACCACTTCAATGAGCTGAAGTGGTCTGGGTTCCTATAGTGTGTGTCCCTTTAAATACCCATGTCCAGAGGTTTGTTCAAGTAGGTACTGTTTCCTTTAGTCACAGAATGTATTGTGTTAGAAAGGCTGTCTCCTGCAGCAGCTTGTCTGTAGAAGTGCAGAAAATGCAGTACTTCTTTTATTTTATTAAATGTATTTTTTTTGCATATATTTTTATGCAAAGAAAATTTGTCTTGTTGAGTTAACTTTATCTCCTGTCAATGCCTTATATAATTCTACAGAGCATGCTGACCTTTGCACAAATAATAATAATGCATTAAAATGCTAAGCATATCCAGCCTGCACACATTACAATTTGTTTAATAATGGTTGTTAATTTGGAACACAGAAAGATTTATAACGTTCTAGCAATCTAGCACTTTTGCATAATTAATTCCATTATTGAGAAACTTGGTATCTTACCTCCCCCTAGTGTTGACAGCCTGCACTGCACATCAGTCACATGGAAGAAGTATAGTAGGCTCTCTCTGGCAGCCAATCAGGACGCTTCTTGTATTGGTTCTGTGTTGCAGGAGGTAAGCGGATATAGAATGTTGCTGGAGCCTACAACGTAACTGCAACATTCTATCTCCGCCCATCTCCAGCTTGTGGGACATGGGGTAGAAGCTGCACAGTATGAGATTCACCCGCAAGAGGTTCTGCTCCTTCCTAGGCTTCCTCTACTGTCTCTTCTCGTTCTATGCGGCTTATAGTGTGTTCTTTAAACCCTCCCAGCTCTACCGGGTGCACAGGGTGGTCACCAAGAAGGAGGGGGGCAGCAGAGGTATGTTACCTGTCTAATAATTACCTGGGTGCAGTACTGGCACACAACCTGCTGGGCACTCCCATGACTCTCAGCCAGCCTAGACTTGGAAACTGGAACCTGGTTAAGCATCATGGGAATTGCAGTCCAGTGCTTGCAGTGTGAATTTTGGATGATTGCCTTGCATTCTGTAGAGTTAATACTGTAAATGTTTATTTTATTATAGTGTAGTTATGCACAGGCATTGGTGGATTTTAAATGTCAGAATGGATCTAGGTGGCAATATGAATGTGTACATATTTCTTATTTCTGAGCACTATCAGGTATTCTAACAGAGTATCTGTCAAGTTGCAGGGTTTTTTTTTTTGGTCTTCCTCTTCTTGTGGTGGCTTTTAATTTTTTTAAAATATTTTCATTCATTTTAAATTTCTAGCATTACGAAAGATAAAATAAGGGCTTCTTTTTCTTACGTCATATTTGGTTTAAAAAATTTTGCATGCATAAAACCACCACGGACGACTGTTGGCGAGGGTGCGGGAACAAGGAGACCTACCTGCATATGTGGTGGGAATGTCCGAGAATTAAGGGATTTTGGGGGGCCATAAAGGACCTGTTGATCCAGATTTAGATCCCTGTGTATATCTCCTCAATAGGTCGGTAGTTGGATGGACGAGACGGGAGCAGACACTGCTCCATAAGCTCACTTTGGCAGCTAGGAGAGCGATAGCATATACCTGGTTACAACCAGAAGCGCCACAAATGGCAAGTGTATACTCACAGATAAAGGAGGTGAGACTGATGGACGACCTAACGGCTAGACTGCGGGGATCCTCTGGAACATTCCGTAAGGTTTGGGAGCACACTGGGGGCTTAGGTGGTGCGGAGGAGCTTTGAGGGGTGGAGTGGGGGGAGGGGTGCGTGTGTTCCACGGCCTGTCCCGGTCCCTGGCTCCCCCTCCCCCGCGGCCTTTCCCTTGGTGCCTCATTGCCCCGACTTATTCTTTTCTTTCCTCTACTCTATTCTTGTTTCTCAATCTCTTCTGTGGTTCATCGCCTTGGCCCTTTCTCGCAGGGTAAGGTGCCGAACTTAGTATGGTACCGCCTATGGTGCGCCTCAATCAGGCGATGGAGCATCCCACTTATCTCCTGGGATGCAAATTCAAGGAATAGGGTACCTAGGCTAGGGATGTTGCGCTAACTTTGGTTTGACACATAGCTTCAATGTGCACATGTATTAAGCCTATACAGGGATGTCCCTGTCCTATTTTCAAGAAAGGCAACGACTTTGCCTTATAAATTTCTGCTTATGAAGCTGGAAAAGCTATAATTTGGTTACTCTCATGCTATTATGTATTATGTACACAAAATGTGCTATATTGACTGCCATACCGGGGTATGTGATGAAAAGCCTGTAATTGCTGTTGTGGCTCTGCATACTAATGTGTTCATGTGCACACATATAAAATAAAGAATTTAAAAAAAAAAAATTTGCAATGGGTGCAGCATAAGAAAAAGTTCCATGTAAGTTGCTAAACTAATTTACACACAATCCATCAGTCAAAATATTACCACAGAGAGAGGCGTAGCAAATGGGGGGCAGCTTGAGCTGGGAGTACTGAGGCCTTCGTGCATAGGAATAGCATTGTCAGGGAACGTGGCAGAGTATTTCTCTTATAATGCTCCCTCGCGGTTCTTGGCAATCCAGGGCCAAATATACATTCAGGGAAAAACTGAGGCCGCAACCTATTCCTCATTTACACCCCACCTGTCAACCTTTGCGTCACCTGGCCATTTGCACTATGGAGGAGTGATGAGCAAACCATCTGTTTCTCCTCCTCCAAGTGACGGTAAGTGAGAGAAAAGCTCTTATTCGCCTGTACACTCACCAGCAGTACTCTGTTTGCTCTATTTATCCAATAAGAAAAGGCTGCTCTCCGGACTTAAAACAAAAGTTTTATTGAAAAAATTTTAAAATGATGACCAACGTTTCGGACCCCGATCGGGACCTTCCTCAGGGTCAGAGACAACAGGACAACAACAAACGGTGTGCAAACTGACAATATATACCATTAATTTAAGTGAAATAACTCACCCAGGTGTTCTATTCTCATTTCCCGCCGGCACCAAGTGAATTTCCGGGTATGCGCGCGCACGTCAATACGTGCTCCGCCCCCTCGTCATATCGTAATACGTGCCGACGTACCCCCGGTCAAATAGACCGGTCTCCTTAGCAACCATATATACAAAGACTCCTCTTAAAACAAGAGGAGCCTATATCAAAATAGAAAAATAGATGATAAGAAGTATTAGTGCCATGTACAAGTAATCTAAGTGCCAATCTGAAGCAAATTTTGTGATAGACTCATTATATATCATATATTCCCATCGACAATAAAACCTAGTGAACCTAGGTAAGTGACACCTCATCAAGGTGATAACACCACTTAATAAGACTTATCCAGAAAGTGCATATACCCAATATAATTGAATGTCAAATTAAACTTACTAATAGTGAATCAAAAATTCATGCATATTGAAATTTAAAGTGATAACATGCAAGTAATAAAGTGCATAATAAGTGCTCATAAACAACATATGTGTAATCAAACATATCACATATCTATATACAAAAAACAGTTTGGCATATTTATAGACACACTTCCACACCCCTGAGAAATTCATTAAAAATAAAAATATTTAAAAACAATAGTGACTAGCTAGTTAAACCTATATAAAAGAATGATACGTGATACTCTCATTAAGACCCATGGGAGACATTGTATTCAGTTGGTGTATCCAAAAAGCCTCTTTCTGAAGCAACATTTTCCCCCTATTACCCCCCCTACGGGGTAGGGGAATATGATCAATACCCACAAATTTGAGGGATGCTAAAGGATGCTTTTTATCAAGAAAGTGTCGAGCAACCGGCTTATCAGACTGGCCATCCCTGTACGCCAACCTTATACTCGAGCGGTGGCCCCTAATCCTCTCACACAAAGGTGTTTGTCTTTCCTACATAATAGAGGCCACAAGGTTGGCGTACAGGGATGGCCAGTCTTAAATTTTTTCAATAAAACTTTTGTTTTAAGTCCGGAGAGCAGCCTTTTCTTATTGGATATTGTACCTATTGGAGCTCTGGTGGTGCGCCCGGCATTTGGAACTTTCAAGCGTGAGTGCAGGGGATGTTGATATTTTTTATATATATAGTGTGTGTATGGGTTAGTGAATGTGTGCCAATGAGCGTGTGTGTATATGTTAATGTTTGTGTGTCAGTGTGTCTCTCCCTTCCAGGTCCAGTCTGTCAGTGAGTGTATGGATCAAAAACTGGTGGGTGGGCTTTGAAGAGCATGAAAACCTAAAATATTGATGGAGGGCATAAAAAAAAAACCTCATCACATTGCTACACCCCTTGCCAAAAGAAGGACAAACTGCAGTCATTATGAATGGAGGAGAATAAAATAGAGATGTCCAAGTATTGAGACTCGATACAAGGAAGAATATAACCTAGCTTTTACCAAATAATTGCCATTGCAAATTCACCGTGACAAAGTTCTAACTATCCATTTGTAATGCCAAGGCAGCACATGGTCATCTAACCCAAAAGGTTGATACCCAGATGTTTTGAAACTACAACTTCCATGATGCTTTGTCATTCTAAAGGCATGCAAAGCATCATTGGAGTTGTAGTTCTACAACATCTGGGGATCTACCTTTTGGGCACCACTCCTCTAAGACATTGAATTAAATGTTGCTGAAAATTGATACAGATTCAGTGGAAGGATATTTAGTGTCTGAGGGATCCAGATAAGTGTCAGATATTTCAAAAAGGTTTAATTACTCATATTTGGATGGAGCAAGGGCACCATAACCACTGATGCAGGTTTTGATGCTTAGAGGATTACTTTAAATGTTGCTACACATTGTATTACGGTATTGTAATTATTTTGGTCCAAGGACCACATATGATTGCTGGAGCAGAAAATCAGGGGTTTAACCAACTCACATACTTCTAATACATATTATGTGTAACAGTATTAAAAAAAAATTAAATTTTAGAAAAACAGATTTGTGTTGTAAAAGAATACTGCTCCGAGCCTGGTAATGACATTATTGTTGTTGTTGTTGTTATTATTATTATTATTATTATTATTATTATTGTTATTATTTTTTTTTTTTTTTTCATTAGGGACACTTTATCCAGGCAATGACGAATGGAATCCTTGGGAGGAAGAGGGAAAGAGTGAAAAAGACTTGCTGTTGAAGAAACGCAAAAAGAATCTAAAAAACCTGTTATTTCAGGAATCCCAGCGTCAGCCGGCAGAACTAAGTGTGCAAATATGGGGCAAGGCTGCTATTGGTAAGAACTAATAGACATTTCACATCTATACCACATGACCACATATATTACAAAAGATCAGGAACACCTCTTATATGAAAGTAATACTCTGGGCATTTTTCCCCTGTGTATGTTTTTATTAAGGAAAGGTGTAGTGTAAGTGTCTCAGCACTGGAAACAAGGTGAGTAATATTTATTTATTGAACTTTAAATTTTATCAGCAAAGGGGGACACATAAGTGATAGAAGGGAACCTATAGTCCTCAAATAAAGATTTTTTGCGACTATAGGTTCCCTTTAAGGGGCAAACTCTAAAGAATCGTGTTTTTTTACATTTGATAAGGAAGCTTTTCTGGCATGAGTGGCGAGGCTAAGGGGGCAGGTTTATGTATAATTTAATTAACTTTCTCCCCTCAAAACAACCTGATCTCAGTTAAGTTGTTTTGAGGGTGACAGCCTGACAGCACCTGTTGTGCCTCAAACAACTTGCTCATTAGATTAAGCACAATATTCTATCTATACATAGTGCTGGCAGTTTTGGTAGCAAATGTATAGATTAGGAGAAAAACCCATTTAAATATAGTTTTTTTTTTTTTCTCCCTGATATCAGTCAATGCCTCTGGGTACCAAGGTATTGACTGACAAGGGAAAGCAGAAAAGACCTCCAACTGCAGGTCCCTCTGCTCTCCAAGCTTCTAGCACTGGCTAGGGAGTATAGCAATGGAGTGACGTCACTCCGTTCCGATGCGGCACGCTGGCAATGATCAATGATGAGATTCTCTCTGCTTGGGGATGCATCTCAAGAGGGCAAATCAAAGAAGACTTCGGGAGGAGTGCAGATGGGAGAGGTGGGTGTTACACAAAAGAGTAACATCCACAAAGTGGTGCTAGAGCTGAGGAAAGGTGAGTAAAGCTATATATTTTATTTAGAATACACTATGTATTTTTGTGATAAATTATGGAGTCATTGTATATGGGAGCGATTTTCAGGTAAGTTCATTTAAAAAAATAAAATAAAAATTTCATCAACTTTCCAGACTCACTTTAAGATGGGCGTTCCTGGGAGCATCTTCCATGTGAAACCATTCTAGAGTGGTTTAAGATGCTCCCAGGGATGCCTGTCTGCCTTTTCAGTTCGGACACCATACTGCGCACAGAAGGTAAATATTGAGATAAGGGAGTCCCTTAAGGATTGACAACCTAGTTTATTGCCATGTACATAGTTTGGGTCCTGGAATTTTTTTTCGAATAGAACGCACACCACTATGTTCATACCTGCTGGCCAGATTAGGAATTCTTTAGGGTAATAAACATTATATACTTTTTTTTTTTTTTTTTGTAAGTCAGATTGGATGCAGTAAAATCTCCACATTGTAGGGACCCCACCACCTCATCACACTTTACTTTTATTTAGGCCATCTGAGACAAATCTCAGCGCTTTAAGGTAGATTATCCAAACAGAGCGCGTAACACACCGTGCCAACATCATCACCAGGATAAGTCATCAGACGTATTTTATACAAAACAAACTCTGCTTTGTCTGCAGTGACTTGTCTTTTAGAGTTGGATGTCAGTGTTCATATTTTTCTTTGGTTTTGGGGGAAATAAGCAAACAAACACATATTTGTTCTTTCCCAGGGCATTATCTCTGGGAACATATTTTGGGAGGATCACTTGAACCCATCGATGCAAAAGCTCAGTGGAGAGAAGGAAAGCTCAGAACTGGAAAAACTGATTTGAGGTAGATAAAGACTTATTGTTTTATGTCTGATAAAATATAGACTAGTCTGAAGTGTTTGGTCCCCACCTCCCCCTCCCCTTGCGTAATGTTTTGAATAGATCATTATGTTCTCTCTCATTTTGTGTGGAAAATATGTTGCCACAGGCTAAAAACACCCTGTATATGAAATACTGTAACATTCAATAATTCTAGCGGAATGTATGACCAAGTTAGAATGTATATACAGACCATAGAACTAACTCTGTGCTATTAACTAACCCCCTTGCTTCATTGAGAAATGGATGTTTTACAGCATACCCCCTTCACCATCACCCATTTGTGATATTTGTGACACCCCTACTATGATGGAAGTGAACATTACTATGGGGATTAGTGCATTTTTTTTATTTATTTACTTCTATATTTTTGTAGTAGTTGCATATTATTAATTGCTCACTCTTCCCCCACTTTCTGCATTCCCCAATGGCAGTGAGAAGAGCCATGATGGAAACCAGTTAGTCCCCCCCTTTTTTTTTTTTTTTTTTATTCTTGGAGGGTCAAAGTACATGTTTCTAATTTTAAGGGACTCTAAGTACCAAGTCAACTTTAGTTTGAAGGCATACAATAGTCACCCAAACAACTTTAATGTATAGATCATGCCTGCGGGGGACTGTCTGAGCTGTCAGGCAGTCCCCCAGACTCCTACATTTAAAAAAAATATATACAAATAAATATATTATATTATAAAAATATTATTAAAATATTATATTATAAAATAATTAAAGCATTTTTATAATATATTATGCATATATATTGGCGTTATATGTGTATTTTGAGATATATACATATCTCAAAATACACTTATAATGCAATCATAGATGCATTCTATAAGTTTAATATATTATAAAATGCTTTAATTATTTTTTAATATATTATACATATATAGGAAATAAAAGTGTGTGTGTATAAAATATAGATGTATTATAGCAAAGAAAACGATCCTGCACTTCACTGGATTAAACCTTACCATTTTTTTAAGTCCTCGAGTGCTGACTTTGCTTTGGATATATATATCTCTATCTCACACACACATATTTTGTGTGTGTGTATGTGTATATATATGTGTGTGTGTGTGTGTGTATATATATGTGTGTGTATATGTATGTATGTGTGTGTGTGTGTGTGTGTATATATATATATATATATATACACTATTATTTTACATAATTATTTGATTTTATTTATTATAATTTGAGGGACCGGCCAGACAGTCCAGAGAATTTAATTGGCAAGCTCTATATTTAACCCGGTAACTTTCCAAAACCCCATAAAATCCTTACATGGGGAATATTGTTATACTCAGGAGACTTCGCTAAAACACAAATATGAGTTTTTCAAAACAGTAAAACTTATCACGATGATCATATCACCAGTAAAAGTGCAGTTTTTTTTGTTGTTGTTTTTTTTAAATGCAATAAACAAATATGAACGCTAACTTTGGCAAATGTTTGTGACTAAGTGGCTACTACAAAAGACTGGACGTACCCCATTTTGAATACGCTGGGTTGTCTACTTTTACAAACGGTATGCCATGATGGGGTTAATTTTCATTCCTGGGCTGTCATTCGGTCTTAAAGGCACCACATTCACAGTTAAAATACCATGCAGAACTTAAAAAAAAATAACAATTTCTTAATTTCTCATACTTGTTTAGATTTTATATCATATTAAATTCTGTCATATATAAACATTTGATGTGCAATGAAAGCCCTGTTTCTTCTGAGCAAAATGATTTATAATAAGTGTGGGTGCGCTTAATATGAAAGAGGTGAATTATGGTTGAACAAACATATAGAGCAAATTCCAGGTTGTTTTACGTTTTGATCACAACTTGTACAATTGGCTCTGCCCTTAAGGGGTTAATACAAAAAATACACTGTTTAGTTGAGTTATCTGTTTGATGTTTATGCTTTCACTGTAACTTTCTGTGTTATATTTTGATTTCTAGTTTTATAACTGGCCCTGCAGTAGTTCCTGGCTACTTTTCAGTTGAAGCAGAGAACGTGGTGCTAGTTCTTAATGGACGGGAAGAAGCTAAGATCACCTTTGCAGCTCAGTGGTTGCATTACACTCGGACCTTGGTAGAAAACCGTAAACTGCAACATGTAGCAGCAGTGCTGCTTGGAAATGAACAGTGCAGTAATGACTGGATCCGTCCTTACTTGAAGAAGCACGGGGGCTTTTTAGATTTGCTCTTTGTGGTCTATGATTCCACTTGGATTAATGAGGATGATGTATTCCAGTGGCCTCTGGGTGTCGCTACGTAAGTATCATATTAATGCTGCCTTGACGTGGCGTTATCATCAGACTTGCATCTAACACTTGAAACACTGATTACTCATTTTATTTATTTTCGATAGAATCAGAATCCAATGTTTCTAACTTACTTGCATTAACTTGGTATTTAGCACCATTAGGGAGTTAAATCAACCAAATCACCTTCCTCAACCAATAGGACGCTGAAACTAATTTTATTTTTTTTATTTTTTTTTATTTTTTTATTGGTCCCCTGCATTAATAGTCGCTGCCAGTTTGAAACATTGTGATGAAGTTCCAAGATGTCCAGATGAACGATGGAACTCTCATATTAATTTTAATCTTTCCAGTAAAGTAACTCACGTTTGTAATGTTTCACATTTCATTTTCCAGGTATAGAAACTTTCCTGTTGTGGAGCCAAGCTGGTCCATGGTTCGAGATTCCCGACCGTACTTATGCAATTTTTTAGGGACTGTATATAGCAATTCATCTCGAGAGTCCCTTGTGAATGTCATAAGTAAAGCAGGACTAGATAAGTTTTGCTGGATTTCGGCCAGAGAACAGTAAGTTTATTTACATATACTACATTATTGTGACCGTTGGCAAAGATACTTTTTAAAACAGTATGGTCTTTCGTTGTCATGGCATTTTTTTTAGAAAGAATGTACAGGACAGTTGCCTGTAGTGTCCGACAATGTTTACTTTGTGTTGCCAACCATGACCGACCCATAATGGATGCCAGTGTGTTAGGAATTTTGCCACCAAAAGCAGCTGTCAAAGAAAGGGAAAAAATGACACCACAACGGTCTGTCTCTGTGTCTTCTTTCTTCCCAGCTATAACCTGTTAATATTGCCGTGGGGTAAGAAGCATCAGCTGGAGGGAGCATGGACTCCTTCACTCGTATTGATCCTTTCGGCAATATTAATAGCAAGTGCCTGGCAACTAACGACTAATCAATGGGGGGGAGGGGGGTTTGATCTCTGCTGTTACGTGCACAGCTCTCTTGCTCACCACCACTAGAACTGTGATCAGAGAGTGTGGGTCCCCCTCTCCTTCCCTTCTCTGGAGAGGTGAGCAGCAGCAAAACGATATGCCTTTATTTTGTGTTAGAGTGCGTCTTTGCATATTTGAGTGTGTGTGTATGTGTGGTGCTAGTTATGTGTATGACTGGTAGGTGTGTGTGTGTGTTTTTAGTGTATGTTGTCAGAAAGTGTGTGAATGGAGATGCTGCCTAGTCTATGCAAGATAAAAAAAAACAAAAAAAAAAGTTTCATGATTAAGAGGGAAGGATAGGGGGCATAAAAACATTTTACCAAACCCCAAAACCCAAGAACGGCTCACAGATGTTTATGTAGAAGGATATGAGGAATTTGTAAAACCATCTGCTGGGGGGATAAAACTTACAGGCATTTTATTGTCTTACATTTATTTCTATGTGTGTTCTTTCTAATAGGTGGCAGCCCCAAGAGACCAATGAAAGTTATAAAAGCTACCATGATGCGCTTCTACAGAGTGACCTCACACTAAGCCCTGTTGGTATAAACACGGAGTGTTATCGGATTTATGAAGCCTGCTCGTATGGCTCTGTTCCTGTTGTAGAAGATGTCATGACCCCAGGGAATTGCGGGAACTGTACTTTGTACAGCAATGCTCCATTGCAATTACTCAAATCCACGGGAGCTCCATTTATCTTCATTAAGTCCTGGAAAGAACTTCCCGATATATTACAAAAAGAAAAAAACCTGAGTTTACAAGAGAAGGTTCAGCGGAGAAAAAGGCTCCTGGAATGGTACCGGCAATTTAAAATCCGAATGAAGCAAACTTTCATACAGGCTCTTGAAAAAGCTTTTCAACCAAATGATTAGTATTGCTGCTGGTGTTTGTGTGTAGTAGATGATCGCATGTCTGTAAAATTAACGTGGGTTCAAAGAACTTGATCTGTGTATACTTGTGTCTGCAGTCCCGAACCCTGCAGTAGAATCCTTTGTGTAACCAGTAGAGCGGACAATCGCATCAAAACTTTTTTCAAGATGTCGGACAGGATTTTCCATGAAAACCATTCGTTTGGCAACCCATTCTACGTAAACGAGTTCAGTGACCCATTCTTCAACTGTCATGTAATGTTCTGAAAGTAATTCTGCAAAATGCCTTTGTTAAATTCATGTTCTGAATTGTTAAGAACCACTGAACTAGGAGTTTACTAACGTCATGGTTACTTGCACTCCGTGATCACTGATATCAGAGTATATTGGGTGACAGAATGACCCTCTACCTGAATTGATTCTATTTACCTTTAACCCCTTAAGGACCAAACTTCTGGAATAAAAGGGAATCCTGACATGTCACACATGTCATGTGTCCTTAAGGGGTTAAATAGTAAGACACAAGCTATAATTTATTTTCGGTGCTATAGCAGAGGCATTATCCTGATTTATCAGTAAGCGTTATAATTATGTGACAAATATTTTCTCCAATATTGATACTCCATTGTACCTTTATGTGTCTGTATGTCCTTCCAGTGTCTTTAATTGCTCCCGGTAGCTGGTTTGTATGTTTGTGCTCTGTGTTATGTTTGTATTTGAGCAGTATTTTAGATAGTATTCATTTTTTTTTAATGAAAGCGGTTTACGTTCTGTATCTAACCTGGATTCAGTCTGGCTTTATCCTCCCATCAGACACTGGAAAGTAGACTTGGGTCCCAAAAGCTATGTGGAGCCATAGACCGCTTGGTCTGTTCCTGGATCCTCACTGCTTACTTTATATTTATTTAAAAATAAAAAAATAAAAGCTTGCATCTTAGGCAGTGATTATCATGAGGCTGGTGTTGCATTTCCACTGCTTTTCACTGGGAGTTGGGAATAAATCACGTCAGGGATGTGGAATTCGTATCACCCAACCCCCGGGACATGCAGGTCCGGACGCCAGGCAAGAAGTTTGCTTTGGCTGCTTGATAGAGGACAGTATTAGAGGCAGGGAGTGTGAACGCTATACCCTTAGAGCTTTCAGACCTCAGTAAACGCTCCAATGCACTCTAGTGAGTGAGAGCGCAGCCGCCAGGACTCCCATCATACACTGAGTGCCGGAAATGCAAGAAGCCAAATGACTGAGGTTGTGTAAAGAGGCATGTGCTCTGTGTGTTGGAATCCTATAAAGATCAGGAAAGATTTGGCTTAAGGGTTGGCGAGTAGGAGATCTGACACACTCAACATAGAGCCAGCACACACATTACACCCAGCCAAAACACACCACACACTATGGAGGAGAACAGAGGGTAAGACACTAAAATCTAAATGTGTGCAAAATAAATTCAAATTGGGGGGTTAATAGCCCTTTGTCACTTTAAGTTGAAGTATTTTTTTCAGATCAACTATTTTGGCCTGATTTATTTATTTATTTCATTTTTTATTTTTATTTTTTGTCAGATCAAGTATATTGTGTTACCACTTTAGTTCCTTTGGGCAAGAATATATATTTAAATGATTAAGGGGATCCTATAGTGCAATGAAAACAAAGCCGTTTTCCTGACACTATAGGGTTAATAGGTCCCTCGCACCCTCCCTCTTGCGGGGTTGAAGATGGTTAAAAATCAGCCAGTTACCTGAATCCAGCACTGATATCCCTCAGTGCTGTGTCAGGCTCCGCCCATGCTCCTCCCCCGCCGATGTCAGCTGGGGGGGAGACCTAATGCCCATGCGTGACAATGTCCGCTCGCGCATTAGACCTCCCTATAGGAAAACATTATTTGGGGCTTTACCATGGGGAAAATCTGATGCTGGAGGTCCATGAGGACATCCAGCATCAGATAACGGACCAAAAGTCTGTTTAGATTCCGGAAGCCCTCTAGTAAACATTGCAGCACTAAGTGCAAAAGGGTCACAGCTAATTGAAGTAGTCTGGGTGCCTACAGTGTTCCTTTAATAATGGTTAGCCAGTTTAAATTGTGTCTGTAAATTCCGGTTACAATGTTTCTCAATGTGTGATGTCTAATAAATCACTTGTTCCTGATAATGTGTGTCAGTCCTGAAGTTCTCTGAATTCCCAAAAATGTACTCCTGTTGCCGCCAAAGAAGCCTTACACAACATTAGAGTAGGACATCCCACCCAGAAGCAAAGTGTTTTGTCATTTTTTTTATATTTTCCTATCTCCTGCTGTGAGACCCTAAGGCATCTGCTTGTACCCTATTAGTGTAGTGACAGCTGCCAGGTTCAATTACAAACACTTTCATAGATACAGTCTAATGCATTACACTGGTTGAATAACTTTTAAAGAAATACTTTAACATTTACAACCTTACAAGACAGTGTGTTTACTCTACAAGATCTTATAGCCTGCTGTTAAACTTTAATTATCCTGCAGGCTCTAGAAGGCTATTAAGCAGAAGATAATACATTTTAGATTAAACAGACTGTGCTATAAGGGAAGTATAAACATTAGATCTCTCTTTACTGGAATACGGCATTCCAGAATGTTTGTAAACAACAGGCACCAAGATACTTCCGGGTGGCAGAACGCGAGCGGTTTTCACTGATATTCTCCTCACAATAGACCGGCAGATCTGCAGCAGGCTCACAGCAGAGCTTTTATTTATAAATTCCATCCTGTGTGAAGCAACTTTAATGTGACTGTACAGCATGAGAAAGCCATGAGGTGCAGAGTTCCTCTCCCCAATCCCCGGATGAGGAAAAACACAGGTTGTGTCAGGGAGCTTGGGAGGCCACTAACACTTCTTATACTTATGCAGGCAGCCATTGTTGCAGAAGAAACACTATGATGCACTCCTATCACTGCCAGCAATCCCTCCTATACCACCCCTTATCACTGCAAACCATCCCCCATACCAGGACACAGCTGGCAATCCACCTGTTACATACTGCCATGCCACCCTCCTCACCCCCAATACAGACACTATGATAACCCCTATCACTGTCAGCCATTCTCACATCCCCTATACCAACACGACACCCCACTCTTCACATACCGCCAAGCCACTCTCACCAGACACAATCTGATATCCAACTATCACTGCCAGCCATCTCCTCAGTACACAGCTGACACCCCAGGACATAAATCAGGGAAGGGCAATGGGTGTACCCCCAACATCAATCCCATTGTACAGCGCTACGGAATCTGATGGCGCTATATAAATAATAATGATGCATTGGGCTTACAAGGCATGATGTGAGTTTTAGTTGTAGTAGTTGGAGATGTAGCTATTGCCCAGCTCTGCCATGAAGTGTACCAGCTGTACCTCTACAGCAGTGCAGGGGTCAGTCCCACTGACAGAGGACCCATACTCCCTGCGAATTCCCAGACAGCCCTGGCAGAGTGTGGGCTGCGCATGCACTCACTTTCCCTGGTACCAGACACTCAGTGTGAGTGATCTCCTGACACCCCACCCTGTCCTATATACAGCTCACATAGACACCCAGCACTGGACCCGCGAGAGGAGACCCGCCAGCCACGCTCCTCCAGAGACACCGCCTGCCCGAGCACCCCGGCCCGCTCCAAGGGACCACTGACCTGTCCCGTCTCCCTGTCTGTCCTGTCTACACGCAACCAGAGTACAGCTTTCATCAGAAAACACTTCGGCTTTTGCCGACCCGAAGAACGCCTATTATTTTTGTGAAATCCCCTATTGAAGGCTGTGTAAGTCACAGGCAGGAGAAACCTGCACCTACCTCAGCCCCAATGCCTCATTCCCCCAGCACCCACCTCAGCCTCCATACCCCTCTCCACCCACTTCAGCCCCCACCCATCTCCCCCAGCACCCACCAATTCTAACACAACACATTGACATACAGGGCTCGAGGGCCCTGTGAGTTGTCAGTCCGTCCCTGGTAATGATGTAGACAAAATAATGTGCATTAAATTAATAATTGGTTCTATGGAAAAATGAAATTCAGAGGTATTTATATATATATATATATATATATATATTTGTGTTCAGGGCTACACCGGTTATGATTCAGGTATGATTGTTGTTAACAACCGTAATAATATGAAAAAGTCAGTTGAGGTGTGCCGAAACTGACGTATGCTGTAGGCCAGTAAATAAAGTGGGCCTACATTAGCAGTATACATTAATTAAAGGGAGTGGAAGGTGGGGCAGCAGATCGTCTGACCAACTACGACGAGGTAGGGAAGGGGGAGTCCCTTTTAAAGGGCCACAACCCTCTCCAGATGTTTTAGACTACATCTCCCATAATGCTCTTAGGGCCACAATGCTAGCAAAGAATCAAGGGAGATGTAGTCCAAAATATCTGGAGGGCTGCAGATTGCCCACCCCTGCTGTAGGCCAATAAATAAAGTGGGCAAAGGGAACACATTTCTTGCTTAAACACATTTATTGATAAATACACATAATACAACCTAAGTACTTTAAGAGGACATTTTCTCAAAGGCTTTGCGCATCTCTTGTATTGGTTGAGGAATGTATGTTGTATAAGCTGATGACTTCCAGCAACCTAGCGATTTAATGATATGGACTGGAACATCCTGGCTGGATGCCGTAGATGCGGCCCCTATTCTAAATGAGTGTCCTGAATAAATGCTAGGGTTCAGGCTGATCCTTATTAACAATAAGCGGACATAAAACATGAATTTGGGCGTAGTGAGGATAGCCCCGTGCAGTGACTGTGCACAAGGAATTGTTCGTGGGAGAATAAGGAATGTGGACAGGTGGACCTAGCTGGCTCGTTTTGGTCACAGGTAGAGTGAGTATGTAATAATCTAGGTGTCCCTTAAATATAAGACTCGGAAGCAGAGTTGTGCATTATGTTGTCCACTTATGGTGAACTCCCGTGGTCTAAGGAAGCTGTAAAAAGCCAGGTATATGGCGTTCTTAATAACTGAGTTAGTCTGGGGTTCGAATGGGGCTGAATCTAGTACCTCTGACATGTCTTTGAATAACTGTTTGTTGATAGGTAGCCTTTGTTGTGGGGTAGGACCGTCAGCCTTGGATATGCCCTTAAGTATGGTCTTGATGGGGTATGAGGAGAGGAAACTAGAGTTATTGAGGAAGGCGGTGTACATATGGTGTTGGATGCCTGTCAGGTATAACTAAATTGTGTTGTGTGATAACCTTAACTTGAGGTGGCAAAAAGAGGAGGATGCCACCAGGGACGTCATATCAAACATGTTATCTAGTTGATGGTCCGCCATATATTGGCAGATAGGGCCAGTTTAGTTAGAGTCTGGCTGTGGCATAGTAACTCGTCCAGTCCATAATTAGTTCTCGGAACAGGGGAGCTGTTGTGGCCAGACGTGAGGCAGTTGGTAGGGACTCTCGGAAAGCCTGAAATTGAAAGTGAAACAATCGATCAGCTGCAGTATTTAAAACTCCTGGGACATGTCAGCACACTAAGTAAAACTGATCGCAGGCTGCCAGCCACGTTAGTCTCCTAATGAATCTCATTATTATCAAAGAATCCGAGTGGCCTTTGTTAATAACGTGGCAAATCGCCTGATTGTCTGAAAAGCACTGTACCATTTTGCCTGACCACAAATGGCCCCATGCTACTGCCGGGGCTACAATGGGGTACACTTTGAAAAGTGCTGAGTGCTGAGTAGAATCCCTCTATATCTTGTACCTCCTCAGGCCAACTATCCCAGAGCCATTCATTGTCGAGACTGATACCCCTAGTGAATTAAACAGCTTGACTGCTTGGGGGTGAGGAATTGCTTTCGATGAATAGGAAATCGTCTAGATAATGTATGACGGTATGGCACCTGTACGAATTCAGGAGGAGCCAACACAGAGTTTCTGCGAAGGTGTCAAAAATCGTTGGACTACTCTTAGACCCGAAGGTGAGCCTAGTGAAAAAATAATATAGGCCTCTCCATTTGATACCGTGCAAGTGTCACAATGATGGATGTATGGGTAATTATTTAAAGGCGTTGACAATTTCGATCTTGCTAAGCCATGCACCAATGCCAGCCGCCATGATAGCATCTATGGCATTGTCAATTGTGATGTATTGCAGTGAGAACTCCTCTAATGGTATTAGGGAATTAAGGCTCGGGACTACTGAGGAGTGTGGTGCAGAGAGATCTATAATCAGTATCGCTTAACAGAGTTTATCCCGGTGACCAGGCCAATAGGATTAGTCCTCAAGTTGGAAAAAGGCGGCACCATGAGAGGCCCGAATATAAACTGGTGCTCCAGTTCTTGTTGTAATAACACCTCTACCGACTCGGTGTCAGCCATAGCTGACTGCAGGTTTTAACACTCCAAAATTCCCGTTGACAAGTGAATAAGGCCCGTGTGGAACCCCTGGGTGAAACCTGTTATCAAGAACTCAACCAGGTGTCGTGAAGGGTAAGTGGATAGCAGATGAACTAGAACACCAACAATAACTGAGGTCAAATAAGGCTTATGATGCATTTTATTTGGGCACATGGCTTTCGCATGAGCCCTGAAACAGTGAGAGCAAACATGCAACAAACGACAGGCACTATAACCACATGAACCTTCATTAAAATTATTGCAAATTTGCGACTTGCCAAGGTTTACAATCGGGCGGCCTAGTTTATCCTTGCCCTGTTTCTCGACCCTAATAGCGCCCGGGATAGCCGTGTTAGGGGTGGTGTCAGGTGTAATGGGACAGAAGTTGGCCAAATGCGTGGTTGATGCGCAAATTGCACAAGCTGGGGTTCTTAGCCCAGCGAAGTGTCTAAGGAACAGCTCTGTGTCCAGTTGGCTCCAATCCAACCTGTTATTGTACTGGGCCAGAGCTGCAGCCGCCTTTGTTGAAAACAACCGGTGGTAGTCGTAAAAAGAAGTATCCCCATATTTGTTGCCAAGATCCACCAACTTGTGCATATAGAGGTCCAAATCCTCCCTTCTATGTGGGTGCCCTGAACACAACACATCCCTATAAATACCAAATGCTATGATAACATCTGGAATTGATAGTTTTTTGCTGAGTCTTGGATCTCTAGCTTTTAGTAAAACCGAGATATCCCCATATGTGTAAGTGCAATTCTCAACGACATCCTGGGAGGCAAT